GCTGAGATCTGAGGGTCACGGTTCAAAGCCAGCCTGGGCAGGAGAGACCGTGAGACTCCTATCTCCAATAAACCACCAGAAAACCGGAAGTGGCACTGCAGCTCAAGTCGTAGAGCGCTTGCCTTGAGCTGAAGAGCTGAGGGACAGCGCCCAGGCCCAGAGTTCAAGCCCCATGGCCAAAAAAAAAAAAAAAAAAGGTATGGCGGTGGAGGGCCAGGGTCTCAAAGGGAGAGAGGAAGAAGTAGAGTAATACATCCAAGGCTTTCCCACAATGACCCATCCCACAGAACTCAATTGACTTAGAGCTTCTCTCCCATCCCCACCCTCCTAGCATTTAAAAAGACCAGTTGATTCCCCAAATATAAGTTCTTATTTCCACACTATTCCAAGCCCTTTCTGGCAAGCTGCCACTTCCAACCTCTCCTTGGACTCTTGCTTCAGGGAAGCAGCACCCAGCAGCTCCCTGAAATCCTTCCTCAGAGCTCAGTGAGCTAGTCCAGGAAGTTTGTCATCCCCTCCTGCACCTCCACAGGCCACCCACATACCAGTAGAGCTATTAGTTTGCTTAATTTGGCCCTCCCAGTTTGTTATGCTTCTGTCTTTAAATTACAATACTTACATTGACCAAATTGTGTCCCCTCTTCCAGTAAGCCCTCTCAGATTTCTGCAAGGATTTTCTTTGTAGTTATTTTCACTTAAGGTATCTTGGTAAATTCTCTTTAGGATCTTGGAATGCTGTGGTGAAGACCTGAGATGCCACATCCCTGAGTAGTTTGTAGAGAGTGGAATTCCATTATACCAAGAGTCAGGGATCCTGACCTGGCACTTGGTCAGAAACAAGTGTCAAGACTGCCACAGCAACCACAGGAATGAGGTCTACATTACAAGAGAAGAGGGGACTGGAGAGCCTGAGTCATCTACGTTGGACCTTAATAAGAAATTTCATTAAGTTCAAGAGCTGGGAAACTCTCTTGACATCATAGCAGCTAAGGGTAGAGAGGAGAGCTGACTGCTCAGAGAAGTATTAAAAAGCATAGAATATCAAAAAGGTTTGGACAAGCTGGGCCCTGGTGTGGCTAACACCTGTAATCCTAGCTACTTAGGAGGCTGAAACTTGAGGATTGTGGTTCAAAGTTAGCCTGGTCACTAAGAGACTTTTATCTCCAATTAACAACTCCAAAACTGGAAGTGGCACTGTGGCTCCAAGTGGTAGAGCTCTAGTCTTGAGCTAGAGAGCTCAGGGACAGTGCCCAAGCACTGAGTTCAAGCTCCATGACCACCACTAACAACAACAAAAAGAACAGATGGTAAACTGGGTCTGGGCTAGGCAGCAAACTCCTGGTCACCCCCAGACTCACAGCAAACACAAACACAGACCAACGTTCTTTAATCACAAAGGCACTTGAGGACCCCTATAAACACAAAGTCTCTGCTGAGAGTGGCTCTGCATCCTCTGCCACCCAGTTATTCATCCGTGTACTCAGAGTTCATCATGACCTGCAGAGGGCTCTGCACCAGGCTTGATGAAGATGCCTTCCATGGCCTTCCATGTATTGTGTGTGTTGGCACTGGGCATGCCGTGTACCTCAAGCTGTCCACGGATGGGACTCCCATACTGCTCACCAGTGACTGACAGGAATACAGAGGTGCCCACATGCTGGAAGCGCACAGTGGCCTCACGTTCCCAGTGCTGCCCAGAGCAGCGCACTGTCCACAGGTCCAAGTCATCACCCTCACCATCTTCTCCAAAGGCACTGACCTCCTGTAGGCATGGGATTAAAATGGGTTAAAATGATCAGCACAGAGTCCCCCTGAAGCTGCTTGCCTGGCAGGGGAACTTGGACCCCATGCACTCATCTCTAGTCCTTTCCCTGCATCTCTGTGATCCTCAGCTTCTACAGCTGCAAAAGTAAGACAGCAGGACCCTGCCCCTGCCCCCCCCACCAGTATTCTTTCCCCAGTGTAGAATTTATGACACATACACATGTATTCATGCAACTATGTAGTGATCACTGGTCCCTTGAGAGCTAAAACCTTTCTCCTCATTCTCAAGTCCTAACCCCTCTAAAGTCCAGGGCCTAATTGAAGCCTCTATCTCCAAAAGCATTGTCAGGCTGGGTAAACCTGACTCATTGTAATCCTCGCTACTCAGAAGGCTGAGATCTGGGGCTTGGAATGTGACTTAGTGGTAGAATGTTTGCCTAGCATGCATGAAGCCCTAGATTACAGAAAAAGCTGTGCTGTGGCTCAAGTGGTAGAGTGATAGCCTTGAGCACAGAGAGGCTCAGGGACAGAGCCCAGGCCCTGAGTTCAAGCCCCAGAACTGGCAAAAAAAAAAAAAAAAAGGCTGAGATCTGAAGACTGTGGATCAAAGCCAGCCCAGGCACAAGAGTGTCTTCATGAGACTCTTATCTCCAATTAACCACCAAAACAGCCAGAATTGGGGCTGTGGCTCAAGTGGTAGAGTGCTAGCTTTGAGCAAAATAGCTTGGGGACAGCACCCAGGCCCTGAGTTCAAGCCCCAGGACTGGCACCAAAAACAAAAAAAACTCAGATCTCAGCCTCCTGAGTAGCTAGGATTACAATGAGCCACCAGTACTCACCTGACATTGCTTTTGGAGATAGAGCCCTCAAGTGTGGACTGGACTTTAGAGGGGTTAGGATGTTGAGAACAAGGAGAAAGAGGTTTTAGCTTCCCCCCATCCCAATCTACCAGCCACAGCTGTAATGATCTCCCTGTGTGTGTAGGCCTGCAAGTGCACGTGATTGTGTACCAGGGCCTGAGTGCATTTTCACTCAAGACTAGTGTTCTACCACTTGAGCCACAACTTCACTTCCAGTTTTTTGGTGGGTAATTAGAGATAAAGGCCCCACAAAATTTCTTGCCTGGGTTGGCTTTGAACTCAGGTCTCAAGTAGTACAGGTTTGAACCAGTGGCAACTCACTTAATCTCCAAGTCTTGACACATGCTCATAGAGGTTTGGAAAGTCTGTTTCCTCTCTGGGGCCAAGAAGAGAGCTCCTCATCCTTCTACACCCTGCCGAGATTTCCCCTCCCCTGTGGAATTTCCTATTCCACATCCAGAAGGCTGTGTGGATCCCTCTTCCGAGTCTCATGTACCTAGCAAAGAGGAGCTAATGACAGGGATCTATCTCTCTTCCAATTTCTCAGCAGGACTGGAAGCTCCTGGGGATAGGATCCCCTTATCACCAGAGAGGGCGCTCAGGTAACATTTCAGAATTGAAATCCCCATTTCTCAGAGGCCCAGAAACCTTAACCTGGGTGCCTCTCCACCAGGTCAGGGAGTGGGCTTACCTGGTTATTGGATAGCGGCGAGGGAAAGTGGTGCGTGTGCAGATTCTTGCCCGTGAGCACGTGGGTGAGCCGCACAGCCTGCCCGCAGCGAACCGGGAGCCCCCGCGGGCACCCGCCCTCCGAGCCGCCGCGAATCCGCCAGTAGCTATTGGCGTCGTCTGACGCTTCCACACCGGTCACCGACTGTTGGCCGCTGCCTGAGGAGTGACATCCCCACCCACCCCAGGGTCTGTCAACCGCAGAATACCGGACGCTGGTCTTGAACATCATCAAACTATCCCCACAACCCCAAGTCTGGGACTCTAAAAGCTCAGTCCTGCCTGAACCCCAAGGCACCAGGTTCCCTGTTGACCTTCCCAATAATGTAGACGGCCCCTCAGAGCCCCCGTCTTTATCTCTCAAGGGCCCCCAATGACTCTAGGTTCCCCCAGCCACCCAGTTCACGACATCCCACGGATCGCTACAACTACA